GGCTTTCCTTAAAAAGGGAAAATAGAGCCTAGTTGTGACGTTCTTCGTGGTCGAGCTGTAAAGCATCCTGGATCAAACGGTGGTCCCCCCATCACCATCATCATAAATGGGAACGCATGTTCGATCCCTGCCGCATTTCTCAAATTCTCCAGCCGATTTAATATCAACAAATAAAAATGGGGCATCTATTTGATTTACGAAGTGTCCAGTAATATAATATTTGAATATATATATATGTATATATATATACAAAGAAATAATCATACATAGAATCAATCAGAAGTATTAATGCGATTATTGGCGACATCCATCGCTAGAAAACATAATATATGCATTAAAATACTGTTCATTCATAGTGCGAGTTGATCTTCGTTGATAAACTTGTCTGTAGTTTTCAGTTTATTTGATGTTAAAATGCTAGTACTTACGAATAGTCTTCTATTCATCATCAGGCATGTGTGTTTTTCCTTATAAAATCAAAAACTTGAAGACGATATACCTGTATGAAGCAATACTTACATATACAGGGTGTAACAGCAAAATTGTTCAATTGTTAGATTAAGTTTCGAACCGTTGTATTTTAGAAATGATTAAAGATATCTTATTGGAATCCTCCGAGGTTTTTATAACACTGTTAGACTCTACTTTAAACCTTAGGAATGTATTCAGCTCTCAGTTGATATGATGGTCCCTGTTTATGTTGAAACATCTTAAGCTAGTTTTCATCTCTACTACTCCCATGTTTTTTTTAATTTTAAACTTATTCACCGTCCGATTGATGGTACTTAAATGGACTTTGATTATGCAAGCCAGAGTATAAATGTTCGTTACACGATTTGGACAATGTCACTATTACACCCGGTGTATATATATAGTGCATTTAGGCAGCAATCCTTCAATTATACATGTTTAAATAAAGACTAGAGACAAGGTTATACGATTAAGCTTTTCATTTAATTTTTCTTGTGTTCGAACAAGTGTTTTATTTTCTGGACACAGTGTAGAAATTGTCCAAATGTTCTATAATTCCGAGCGCTTTCGGCTATACTTTTAGCCATTAACAAGGATGATTTTCTTTTTGCTTTTTGATTAGGTGTATCGGTTGTTATCGAGTTATAGGGATGTTTTATTTTCCGAACACAGTTAGCACATTGTGGCCGTGTTCTTAGTTAATATTATTAAGTGTTGGCTTATTCTTTTTCATTATTAAATCTTCCATTATTTTTAATATTTTTTACATGTGGATGGTCGTCCTGGGTAAGACGATAAACTATCTCCACATCCTGAGTATGACGATAAACTACGTCCAACAGCAAGGCATCTGATCAGAAGGTTTTGAGGAGCGTGGAACCATCCTTTAATTGCTGGTGTTCTCAGGTCCAAACTGACCCGGGGTGGTAGCACCTGTTAGGGTCCCAGCTATGGGCAAATAGTTAACACCCAAACTTGTGTAAAAATAGGTTTTAATACCAGAAATACTTTTCTTATAAAAAAATTATTACCATCATTAATTCTTGAAGGAAAAATTGTTATCAGCAATAATTAAAAAAATATCAGTTATACAAACAGCTATACATTCTTTGGAAAAAATGCAGAATGGAACTCAGAATACTAAATAGTGCGAACAAAATATTACCAAGTCAGTAATTAAAAAAACAAAAAAAACTTTACGAAAATAAAACCATCCAAGATTGTAAATTTCTTAAAAGAAGTCGGATTGTACTCAAAAATATGAGTAACTGAAAAAATGGTTCAAATATATATGTATACATACACACCTTTTTTTACGAAACTCTCGCTATAAATCTATTTCAAAGTTTTGTTGGCATTAAATGACCCACTGAGGTTGGTATGCCATAAAACAAAACAACCAGCATGTGGATGAGGTTATTTTATTTGTATTTTCTACTAGTATGTTTCGGTGTAATTATTTATGAATCCTGTTTGATAAGGAACACAATTCCTTAAGGGACATTTGAACACAGATAATATTCTTTCGTTGTAATTTTGATTTTACTGGTGTGTTGTTATTTTTGAGGATAAGGTTAGCTGTTTTAAAATTTTTGTAGTAGATATTTAATTTGATATTTTTTTATTCGGGTCAATTAGGGTAGTGTATTTCTTCTTGATATTTCTAAGTAAAGATTCCTCTTGTTTTCATTTGGTTTTAGTAGAAGATATTTATTTTATTTTTGACTGTTCACTATCGTTATTATTTACTTTGGGAAGAAATAATCTAATTTGGTGTTCTGTAAGGTGTTTAGGGAAGTCATTGTTAATTAGAGTCTATTATTCAGTTCATCAAGGAATTGAGAGGATGAATTCTGGTGTGCTCTTTTTTGGAAGTTTTTTTTTATTATTGCTATTTTGTATCTGAGTGAGCATTCACTTCTAAAATCAAGGTGGAAAGAGTTTCTGCCAGTGGATTTTTTTTATAATAAAATCAGATAAAATTATTGGTACTGTATTCAACGAAAACGTCTGAGAATGGGAGCTGATTTTTTTGACTAAGTTCGTAGGTAAAGTTAAGGGCAGAGTTGTTTTTTTTTTTTTTTCAAATGTGGTCTTAAGAATGCCTATTTCTTTAGTGTTATTTGCTAAAATAAAAATATCGTCTACGTAGTGAACATACATTTTAGGTTTACAGACCTGTTTTAATAACATATTTTCTACATGGGACATGTAATAATTGGAGAAGTACAGGCCGAGTGAGTTCCCCATACTAACGCCATTAGTTTCGGTGTAAATGTTGCCATTATGGTCATAGAATGGGACTTTGGTTGTGCATGCGACTAGTAATTTTTTGGGTATGAATGATTTGATGGATGGAGGAGAGGATCTATTAGAATCCATTAAACACAGCTCTATTAGAATCCATTCTGAATGTTAATTAAATAGTTTTGGTGATATATTTTCTTCCTCCGCCTTCTATTATTATTATTGTTATTGTTGTTTTTAATTCCTTTGATTTCTGGCGTGTACACATTTCTTTCCGGGTCCCGCCCAGAGACCTAAGGTTAGAAATGGTATCATGACACTTTCCACTGACAATGAAAAAAAAAAAAAAAAAATTACATCAATAAAACCATTCGTAAAGTGTGGGCTGTACTTGTAAGAACAATTTTTTATATTTCTTTGAAGTATGGGCTGCCAGGAATCCCTTCAATTAGTCTACTGGAATCTTTTCCAACCAATTCTAGGGCTTCAACTACAACAGGGATTGTTGATGTTCCCATGTGCCACATTATTATTATTATTATTATTATTATTATTATTATTATTGTGCTACCCTGTGTTAGTTCGCACGACCGTTACGCATAAATAATGGTCTATTCAGTTTTCTCGTGGAGAGACGGAAAAGACAGTAATTGGTTTCAGTAAGAAAAAGAAAGTAAGAAATAAGGAGTGAAAGAAAGAAAGAAAGAAAGAAAGAAAGAAAGAAAGAAAGAAAGAAGGGAAAATGGAAGTGTTTAAGACCTGTTTCAGTGAAATTCAAATGGTCGTCAATTTCAAACATTTTCATTTGTACCCCCTTACTTCTTAAAATAACGAACAGTATTCATATTTATGATTGTTATTGCAATTTTTTGTTAAAGTTGTTAAGCTCAATTATTTAACCATGGGATACAGGAATTAATACGGATATTTTATTGCCGTACAACTCGACATGAACTTGGAAAATTATTATTATTATTATTATTATTATTAATATTATTTTATTTCCTTTGATTTCTGGTGTGTATACATTTCTTTCCTGGTCCCACCCAGAGACCTAAGATCAGAAATGACGTCATGACATTTTCTACTGACCAATTAAAAAAAAACAAACCCACACACATATTTTACATAGATAAAGCCCTTCGTAAGATATGGACTGTACTCGTGAGAAGAATTTTTTGTATTATTTTTATTATTATTATAAATATGAGTGGCTGTTTAATATGATCTTTTCTTTTGATGCGCTGTGTCCTTTCAGGACGTAGGCGATCATGACTCTCCGCTTTCCCCTATCCCTTGCAGCTCTCAATAAATTTCGTGCCTCTGCTAACTCCCCCAGACCATGTTCTGTCATCCACTTGCTTAAGCCCGACCGGTATGTCATACGTTGCTTTCCCTTGTTTCTTTTTTGCTTTCTTCGACCTGTGAGTATCAGATTTTCCAGGCCTTTCTTTTTTCATTAAGTTTCCCAGAGATTTCATCTGCGTCTTCCTTATATTAAGTATAAGCTTCGCCAAGTCTTTTACATGTGATATAAAGTCAAGGAGGGCTTTCTTAGTAACATATTCAGCATATAACCCATTTAATCGATATAAGTCAGTAGAATCTCAGATTAAGTTGGTTTTAATGGGCTTTGCTTAATGTGAGTGTCAGTATTGTTTTTAATAATTCCTAGTGCTCGTATTATTACTGGTTGAAAGAAAGGATAATAATAATAATAATAATAATTATTATTACTATTATTATTATTATTATTTTTATATTCGTTCTGAACTTTTTAAATACGGAGCTTTCGTGATAGTTTCTCCCCACTCCCAACCTTCTCCAATCTAAATTGGCATTAAGAATTCTTGGCTAGTCGAGTCATAATCGTGCGATTGGATTAAACACGATTCAAATAACTCGATTGGCCGGATCAAAACTTTCAAGGCAGCTCAAATGAACGAACTTAAACTCTTTTTGGCAAGGGGGGAATTTAAGAGAAAACGGATCACCACAGACAACCATTCCCACGCCCCACCAGCGAGCGATTTGAATAAATACTGAAAGGTTACGCTTTTAAGTGTTTGCCTCTTCCTTATTTTTTTTCAAACTTTTACATCTTGCATTATATATATATATATATATATATATATATATATATATATATATATATATATATATATATATATATGTTATTGTGTTATTTTATTAAAAAAAATAAGCTTTTGTTTCATTCAAAATCTCTAGAATTTGCTTACGTGTTTAGTTTTTGATCTTTTGTCTTTCTACCAGCGTTTTTCATGTTTGTGTCCTTTTGCAGTCTTTCTCTCCCCCTTTCTTCTTTGTGCCTTTATCATTACTTTTCCTTTCAATTTATATCGTTATTGCTCTTTTCTTCTTTCTTTCTCCTTCTTTTTGTTGTCTGTTTTCGTTTTTCTTTCTATTCTTTATGTTTCGCCTTTTCTTCCTTCTATCTCGTTTTTTTTTCTCTCCGTTTATTTCTTTCTCCCGTTTCTTCTTCTTTTTCTTCGGTTTCTTCTTTCTTTCTTTTTCTTCTCCGTTTATTTCTTTCTACCTTTTCTTTTTTTTTCTCTGTTTTCTTCTTTCTACATTTTTTCTCTGTTTATTTCTTTTTTCCCTTTTCTTTTTCTTTTTATTCTTTTTTCTTTATACCTTCCTTTTCCCCCGTTTATTTCTTTTTTTTCCTTTTCTTCTTCTTTTTCTATGTTTTCTTCTTTCTACATCTTTTTTACTCCGTTTCTTTCTTTTCTTCTTCTTTTTCTCCGTTTTCTTCTTTATACCTTCCTTTACCTCCGTTTATTTCTTCTATTACTTTTCTTCTTTTTTTTCTTCACCGTTTTCTTCTTTCTACCTTTTATTCTCCGTTTATTTCTTTCTTCCTTTTATTCTTATTTCTACCTTTTTTTCTTCATTTCTTTCTTTCTTCCTTTTATCCTTCTTTTTCACCGTTTTCTTCTTTCTACCTTTTATTCTCCGTTTATTTCTTTCTTCCTTTTATTCTTATTTCTACCTTTTTTTCTTCATTTCTTTCTTTCTTCCTTTTATCCTTCTTTTTCTCCGGTTTCTTCCTTATACCTCTTTTTTCTCCGTTTATTTCTTTCTTCCTTTTATTCTTTTTTCTCCGTTTTCTACTTTCTACCTTTTTTTCTCCGTTTATTTCTTTCTTTCTTTTCTTCTTTTTTCTCCGTTTTTCTTCTTTCTTTTTTTTTTTTTCTCCGTTTATTTCTTTCTTCCTTTTCTTCTTTTTTCTCCGGTTTCTTCTTTCTACCTTTTTTTTTTCTCCGTTTAGTTCTTTCTTCCTTTTCTTCTTTTTCTCCGTTTTCTTCTTTCTACCTTTTTTCTCCGTTTATTTCTTTCTTCCTTTTCTTCTTTTTTCTCCGTTTTCTTCTTTCTACCTATTTTTCTCCGTTTATTTCTTTCTTCCTTTTCTTCTTTTTTCTCCGTTTTCTTCTTTCTACCTATTTTTCTCCGTTTATTTCTTTCTTCCTTTTCTTCTTTTTTCTCCGTTTTCTTCTTTCTACCTTTTTTTCTCCATTTCTTTCTTTCTTCCTTTTCTTCTTTTTTCTCCGTTTTCTTCTTTCTACCTTTTTTTCTCCTTTTCTTTCTTTCTTTCTTTTCTTCTTTTTTCTCCGTTTTCTTCTTTCTACCTTTTTTTCTCCGTTTATTTCTTTCTTCCTTTTCTTCTTTTTTCTCTGTTTTCTTCTTTTTTATTTCCTCGTCTATTTGCTTGGATTTCTCTATTTTAATCGTTCTTTCATCCCCTTTTCTTTTTACTCTTCTTCCTCATCCTCCTTTTTTTCTTTTTTCAACTTTTCACTTTCGTCTTTTTTTTCTTTTTTTAAACGTTTTTATCTCTTTCTCTTCCTTCTATCTTCTTCGTTTTCTCTTTCATGCTTTTCTTATTCGCCATTTTCTTTTTTTACTGTCTTCTCTCCTTTTAGCCCTTCTCCATTCTCCTTTTTCTTCTCTATCAAATTTTACTGTTCAGTTTTCTATTTTATCTCTCATCCTCGGTTTTTTCTATCCCCTTTTCTTTTTCATTTTCTTTGTCTACTTATTCATTCCTCTCCTCTTCTTTCTTATTCTTTTTTTTCTTTCTTTACCTTTATCTCTCCCCCTCCTCCATCTTTTTATTTTTTTACTTTTTCTCTCTTTCTTCTTTTCCACTCTGCGTTATTTTCGTCTTTTTCCTTCAAAATTTATTCCTTCCCCATTTTCCTTTTTTATTTTCGTTATCTCCTCCTTCACTTCTTCCATTTTTCTTTCTTCTTCATCAAGTTTTTCGTTTGTCGCCTTTTTCTACATTAACTTTCATTCTCCTTCACTACTTAACTTTTACTTTTTCTGTGACATGTTTTCTCTCCAACTCATACTTCTTCATCTTATTTTTCTTCTTCATCTTCTTCACGCTTTTCTACTTTATTATTTTCTTATTTTCCTTTTTTACTTTGTTCTCGTCTTCTTCTTCTTCTTCTTCTTCTTCTTCTTCTTCTTCCCTCCTCCTCCTCTTTCTTCTTCTTCTTCTTCAAATAACAATTTCCTTATTATTTACAAGGATTTGAATTCATTACATTGGTTGCCCTTCTTCTTCTTCTTCCCTCCTCTTTCTTCTTCTTCTTCTTCTTCTTCTTCTTCAAATAACAATTTCCTTATTATTTACAAGGATTTGAATTCATTACATTGGTTGCCCTTCTTCTTCTTCTTCTTCTTCTTCTTCTTCTTCTTCCCTCCTCCTCCTCTTTCTTCTTCTTCTTCTTCTTCTTCAAATAACAATTTCCTTATTATTTACAAGGATTTGAATTCATTACATTGGTTGCCCTTCTTCTTCTTCTTCTTCTTCCCTCCTCCTCCTCTTTCTTCTTCTTCTTCTTCTTCTTCTTCTTCTTCTTCTTCAAATAACAATTTCCTTATTATTTACAAGGATTTGAATTCATTACATTGGTTGCCCTTCTTCTTCTTCTTCTTCTTCTTCTTCTTCTTCTTCTTCTTCTTCCCTCCTCTTCCTCCTCCTCCTCCTCCTCTATTCAACTTCTTCATTACCTTTTTTCCTCCTTCCTCATTGTCTTTTTTTCTACTTCGTTTCTATTTTCTCTTCTCTTCTCCACGCTTCTTTTTCCTTTTACTTCCTTCTCCAATCTTCATGTTTTCCTTCTTCTTCTTTACTTTTTCTTCTTCCTCAAACTTTCTATTCTTTTCTCACCACGCCCTCCATTTCTTCTTCTTCTTCTTCTTCTTCTTCTTCTTCTTCTTCTTCTTCTTCTTCTTCTTCTTCTTCAATCTTTCCTCTTTTTCTACATTTTCCCATTGGTTTTTGCTGTAATGATGGCTAATGTTGGCTATGCAACTGCAGCATAATTTGGTAAAGAACTGTGAACAAGTCGACAATGTGTATCGAAAAATATCGATTAATTAAAAAATTTGAGTTTTATTTCCCTCCCTCTCATCCCGGTCGATGCCAGCTTTGCATTACAAGGTGCACTTATAAATTCAAATATCAATAGTCTAATGGTGAAAGGCAAAGTTACCCTGACTGTTGTATTAGTGTATCACTTTAAATATTTCAGTTATCGAATGTCAATATCACAAATTGATACGCATATTTAGCTGGCCTTACAGATGAACTGCCTTAAAATTAAGAAATAAATGTAAAGTTTGTGGCAAAGAAATTTGAAATGAGAAAATAATTAATACGCAATGATGATTCCAAATACTTCAACTTTAATTACTATGTGAAGTGAAACAGGAATCAACAGAAGGAACTGAACTATAAAACAATAAAATCTCAGAATACTGGAATGTTTTCTTCTTTTATTCGTTACGTCCATTCAGTATATGGGTGATCACGGCACTCCAAATCTTCTTATTTCTTTCAGCGGGTAATATGGTTTTTCTTTTCATTATCACTCACTATTTCCTTTTGTCTCTCTTGTCTTCCATATATGCTGTCAGATTCTCCAAAACCTCTTTTCTCATTATGTGTTCTAGAAATGCCGACTTTCGTTTTATGATTGTAAGTATAAGCTTCGTTTTTAGTTTACTTTTTTTTTCTTGAAACTTCCTCGTTACTCACATGTGCAGTCCGTGGTATTCTCAGCCATCTTTTCTAGAACCATAGTTTTTTTTTAGTCTCTGAGAAAATTGTGCAGCGTTCATTGCCGTTGAGGCGGAAAGAAGGAAAATGAAGCCGAACTAAGTTATGAGAATGAGGGCCATTTCAACGGGAAGGGAGAATTCAACATCGACAACTCAAAACCGCCGACTCAACACCGTCGACTCAACACCACCGACTGAGCGGCGGGACATCTCAGCACCGAGACAACTCAGCACAAGAAAAACAACTTTCTTTATAACCGAATAAAAGTGGAACTGAAAACAACAGCAATTAAGAAATTGTACCTGCTCCTCAAAAGGAGGAGGTTTTTATTGTAATAGGTGGAGGAGTCTGTTCCACAAAGTAATTGTTATAGCCTAGGTTTGGACCAAGGAAGAACAACACGAACACAAGAGTAGAAATAACGAAGGTATATTACACGAAATAATAATACAAGTTGTGGAATGTGTTAGTATGACTGTCAGTCTGGTTTGGAGTGAACTACTATCGGCTCGACTCGATTCGGTATCTAGCCCCCTCCACCACCACCTCAATTGCATGTGGCACAAGGCCGAGTTTAACGTGGGTTTCCCGAGCCCGTAGGCTCGCCCAAAAATGCCCGTAGAACCCGTATAAACGGGATCGGGTTGGTCAACCACCCCGAACGAGACTCTGCCCTTCGGCGGAGTCTCGTCCGGGTTCCTCTCTGCTCAGAGGCAGAGAGTTCGACCGTCAAGATGAGAAGCTCGGCTTGATTCGTCCCTTTCTCCTGAGAGGCGTAGTATACATAATGTTAGGAAGAGTTCATTCTGTAGTTATATGTACGGAACCATGACAGTAACAATGGTTGGTTGATTTTGTTTAGCGTCATATCAATCTCCATGGGTTATTTAAGGAATTCTAGGATATTATATGGACTAATATCATGAAAGAGTTCATTCATATTGGTTGTTTGATTCTGTTTGGCGGCATATCAACCTCTATGGGTTATTTAATGTCGAAATCTAAATATTTGTATGTAATTTTATGATTTCAACTCGAGTAGTGGGTCCCAACCGATTTAGAGCCATGCCAAACTTTGATATTTCTAAAATTCTGGTGCCCCACCCTCGTAATATTTAATTCTTACATATTCAAAACTTTACTGCAATTCACGTGAAGTAAACTTAAAAGGTCATTAATTTGGTCTCTAAACAAACCTCCAAAGATTATAGCGTCCACGAAAGAAAAAAATTAGAAAAAAACAAACAAAAAGGCAATTAAATATATATAGTTTCAAAATATATAATAGAGAACTGAAAGGCAGAAATATGAAATATTTGAATGAAAGCTTATTCTGTAATATACTTTGATCATTTTAATTTGATCTCATGTTGGTATAGTAAGCCCAAAGGAATACAAAGAAAATGGAGATGATTTGACGCCGTGTAATTGGTAGATCAGTGTCGAGATATGAAGATCTGAACTGGTGGTATTCCTGGGTATGATGATAAACTACATCTGACAGCAAGGACTCTGATCGAGAGATGGAAGAAGTTCCGCTAAGATATCTTCTTTCCCTCAGTTGTCACTCTGTGTCGTCCTGTTTATGACGATAAACTACATCCGGCAGCAAAGCTTCAACGCCGGAGATTGTAGATTTTGACGAGCCTGAAACCACCTCTTAACTGCTATTGTTCCCAGGTCAACCCTGACCCGGCGTGATAGCACCTCTTAGGGTCCTCGCTATGAACAGTTAATGAACCCATAAATAAAAATCAATGTTACATTTTTATAATAAAATAAGAAACAATATATTTTTGTAGCAAAATAAAAATCAATGCTCCACCAAAAAAATTATCAAAATACATTTTTATACTAAAATTACCAACAACGCATTTTATGATCTACAAATTATATATCTAAAAACATACATTTACTCTGAAAGTATAAAATTATGTGATATGTCCCGGAAAGGGATATATTTGAACGAAGTAAGTGTTTTTGGCTACTACAACCAAGTAGAATACGGTAGCAGTAATCGACTGGTACGCGTCGTAGTCGCAGGTAAGAAGTGTAGATCAATGGTGTAGTCCAATAGGCGTCGTTGTAGACTTAGCTCTCAGACTAAGGCTCTTGACTCTCGTACCTACACGTCCGTCGGTATTTATGACGGACACCATCCAATAATATTCCAGTGAGGGGGAACACAGGTGTACGCATATTCCATTATATCAGATAGATAGATAGATAGTGATATGTCCCGGAAAGGGATATATTTGAACGAAGAAGCTAAGTGGTTTTGACTACTATAACCAAGTAGAATACGGTAGCAGTAATCGACTGGTACGCGTTGTAGTCGCAGGTAAGAAGTGTAGATCAATGGCGTAGTCCAATGGGCATAGTTATAGACTTAGCTCTCAAACTAAGGCGTCCGTCGGTATTAATGACGGACACCAGCCAATCATATTCCAGTGAGGGGGAACACAGGTGGATGCATATTCTATTATATCATTACGTACAAAATATCTCTAGCTCAATGATTCCCAACGTGGGGCGTATGCCCCACCGGTGGGGTATGGAAATATTTTGGTGGGGCATGCGTAGGATGTGCACCCTTCGGCTTACTATACCAACGTGAGCTCAAATTTCATTTTGCATTATTATTTCATCATTAAATGGAAAAGTTGTCACTTTCTAAGATTTTTTTTTCATTTGTACCCCCTTACTTCTTAAAATAACGACTAGCACCATGTGTATGATTGTTATTGTAATACTTTGCTTATTTTGTTAAGCTCATAGATTTCGCAATGCGATAAGAGAGTCTCTACGGATATTTTATTGCCATAGAACTCAACATAAGTTTATTCAATCGTTAACTTAGGGAATAAGTTTTATCAGAAAATTCAAACACTTTTAGATTTTATGAATATTCAAATCTGAAATAAACGTTTTCATAGTTGAATTAATATATTTGAATATAAGTTGATGATTATAAGATATATTTGCACCAGTAATAACATTTTTATTTTATTTGTATATGAATTAAAATTATATCTTTAAATTTGACATATGGATTTCTATTTCCATTTAGATTTTATTAATTTATTAAATAAAGATTAAATTTAAATTAAATTTAAATGAATTATTTTTGTATTAAAATTATATATTTTATTTAAATTCTATATGCGTCTTAATACATATGTTTAAATTTTATTTAATGTCGATAAATTTCTTATTTACTTTTAATTACAATTTCATTTAAATTCGAAATATTTCTTAGTATTTTTATTTTTTCATTTCATTTAAATACGATATATTCTTAATGTGTATACTTAAACTGTATTTTATTCAAATTGACATATACCTTTTTATTTGAATTCAAATTTCCATTTAAATTCGATGTAATTATTATTAGTTATATTCAAATATTATTTCATTAAAATTCAACATATTTCTTTAAATATTTCAATTAATCATTTTACTTTATTTAAATTTTATTTCTTTTAAATTCAATATAATTCTTATTATATATTCTTATATTTAAATATTATTTCTTTTATATTCGACATATTTATTTAAATCATTCATTCTATTAGTGCATTTGGCGCCGCCGCTCCGGTCACCACTCCCCTCGATCTCACAGTTGTGGTTCATGATGACATTCAAGGCAGAATAGAACAATGGTTTACCGTTTCCATTTTAAATATTTATTTGAATATTTTAAATATTTGTTTTAATTGCTCATATCAATTTATTTAAATTTTCTTTCCTTAAAATTCGAAATATTCGAATTTATATTGAAATTTTATTTTATATATAATTGAAAAATATTTTTTGTGTTTGCATTTAAATTACATTTACTTCAACTTAAAACATTTCTTTTTATTAAATATATATTTTTTAATTTTTCCATTGAACACATATCTTACGTTTGTACAAATTATTTTATTTAAATTCGACATAATCTTATTTAAATTCGGCATAATTTAATTTAAATTTATTTAATTTAAATTTATTTAATTTAAATATATTTAATTTAAATTTAAATTTATTTAATTTAAATTTAAATTTATTTAATTTAAATTCGACATTATTTCTAATACTATAAAATTATTTTTATTTATTTTTTCTGTTAGTAGGTCACTTTTTTATTAGTTTTGAAATTACACTTTTATTTAAATTCCTTATAATTATATTCCTATTAAATTACTTTAAAAATTATATTTTGCTATATACAAGTATTTGAA